TCTCTGATACTGGAGATGTTTATGACTAAGGAACACAAACTGCTCTTCTAACAGCTCTCCATTAAAATTTTGGGAAAAGGCAGAGACCAAGTTATCCAGAGTGCTCTGGGATGAGCTAGAGCAGGGAGGTTGGACCAACTGACCCACTGTGGTCACTTCCAACCTGACCCACCCACTCTGTGGCTCTGGAAAATGCCCTTGTATTTTAATGCCCTGAATACAGTGTCTGTAAGACTCAACTGACCTGTCTACACTGCTGTAAGCAGCAGCAGGTACATTTACCTGCTTTCTGTCCAAACTATGACATAACCACTATCACCCCAAGCCATCACAAATGTTAGTCCCCATTAGAATCAGCATTTCCCAGGGTAAGATATTTAATACAAACATCCAAATCACCTGCTGAAACTTACACCAGAGCAGTCCTTCCACAGGAATGAGTAGGCTTGCAGTAAGTACATGATATAGTTTAGATATAGTTTAGATATAGTTTAGAATAGAATTTTTTAATACTTTTTAGTAACGATTTTTATTCCAGATCATTGCCTATTTCAAGGACAGCTGTCAGTATTTGGGGTATAACCTAAGCCTTATTCAGCACATTATAGTGCTGAAAAACAGCACTTAACCACGGAGCACAGAGGAGGCTCATTAGCTGACACCCACCTAGAATTCTCTTGGGCACAGCTGCCAACTGGCAAAGTAGGTCACACTGTAGACAAGCTCCTAAAAATCAAATCACCTCAGTCTGACGAGGTGATGCGATGGAACATGCAAAACTCAGCATGGCCAACTGTAGCTGAAATAAACCCTGATTTGCTGAAACACTCAAGGAACATCAAACCATGGAAAAGAGATAAACAGCTGAGCTAAACAGGCAAGAGGAGCCTGTCTTCAGCCCTTGACTCCCAGAAAAAGTGAGGCTGGAGGAGAGGGAATGACTAAGCTACTGCTGCTTTCTGAGGTCCTCCTGAGGGGCAGAAAGACCCACAACAGAAGGGATACCTTGTAGCTGACCCGCAAGAATCTTACCACTCCCAGCACCAAAGATAATGCACGAGAGCCTGTTCATTTCCCTTTCCCTTGGATTTAAAAAGGATGAGTGCTCAAGGCCTCAAATCGTCTTTTATACATTCAAACATGTTGCTGACCATATGGATACAGAATCCTGGTAAAACCTGAAACTCTTCCCATTTTTGCTGCAGAAGTACTACTTTCTTCTAGGAAAAGTAATTACTTGTCAAGAATAATCTGTTACAGAATAAAAGCCCATGAACATTAAAGCATCCAAAGCTTTAACACCTACAGCAAGACCTTCAAATCACAGACAGTACTTCAGGGGAACAATCTGCAACTGTGCCACTGCAGGTTAGGAAAACTAAACATGATGCTGGTATTTCAATTCCAAGCACACATTGAATGGAAACCTCGTTCTTTCCAATATCCCTGTAAGATCCATCTAACCTGTACAAGAGTACTCCCTTAGAGGCAAATAACTATGGAAAAATAAGATTAATGGCAGCCTTACAACAGACCTAAACTTCTCTGTACTGATGTGAAAAATATTCTCCAAGAGCAAGAAACAGCAAATCATTTTTTGGAATGATAATTTCTATTTCTGAAATCGTATCAAAAGGTTATTTTGGAATTTCAACAGAAGACACATTTTTTCCTTTCTTGAGGCTTAAAGAAGCATTACCCTCATCACCCCTTGAGGAAATGCCTTTTACTAAAAGGTCAGGAGATCAGCAGTAAGCAAAGTTTCACTGTCCTCACCAGGACCAGCTGTGTTCACCTCCCTTATTTCAGAGGGACACAGAAATTCATCCAAAAACTCCATTAGACCAACTCTGCCTCATCCTGACAAGGAAGGAAGGGTTTTTGCACAGACATGTGTATGTATGAAGATTGAGTGTTTCAAACAATCCTGTTTGCACTATTCATGTCTGTTTTTCAATGCTTTGAAACAGATTCAAACAGCAAAAAAAGTCAAGATCACAGAGGTTGAGATCCAGCTCGAAATGCCACACAAATTCCAGACCATCTGTCATGAGAACTTCTCCCTGAATGTACCAAACGGCAGGGAATGGTCCATGCCCAAGTGTTCTACTGACAGAAAACTAATCTGACATTAAAACAAATTCTAACTTGCAATTCCAGCTATCCAGAAATCTGATTCTGTCAAGATGGCCTAAAAACCACATTCCTTACAGCCCTATCAGTTACTAGGTACCAAGTAGCTATGAAAGGAAAAAAAAAAAAAAACTATGAAAAAACCTCATGGCCAGAACAAGGTAAAGACAACAAATTGGCTTGGGTCACGTTGGAGGGTCTTTGGGCACCCTGGTCTAGTGGAAGGTGTCCCTAACCCATGGCAGGGGTTGGAAAGAGATGGTCTCTAAAGGCCCTTCCAACCCAAACTAGCCTGTGATTCCTAAGCCAACATTTTATTGATAGGTAAACAGCTTAGAAACTGAACAGGGAATAAAATAAGAGGACAAGAAAGACTAACAGGAATTAAAAAGAAAAACGGGACCAACAAAATCAGATAAAAGGGACAAAGTTAGAAAAGAATAGGGTGTGGGGCAGCAACAGAGCATTCACACCACAGTGAAAGACATAAGGGCATGTATCAAAAGCAGCTCTAGTATTCATCTCGGAGCCAGCGCTCTCCCTCCTACCATGTTTTCACACAGACACTGCAGCAGCAACAGAACACACCAAGCTCTGGGCAGATAAAAGCAATTCCTCTGCCAGAATTGAGCAGGAGACAACTATAAGGGGAAGATGTCTCATCCATTTCACTTAATCATTTACAACATTGGTATCTGCCCAGGACTGAAAATAAGTAACAGCAGATTTGTTTCCTCCCTCGCACAGATTCTGAGCTGTGTGGAATTCACTCTCCTCCTAGCACAGGAAAAATGCCACTGTCCTCTCATAGCTGTCAGGACCTCAGTGGGCCAGGACTAGTTTCATGGTGAGACTACACCACAATAAATGCTATTTGTCACATTCAAGGAGCAAAGTAAATTAGCAAACTGTTAACTCAGACCTATACATCAGCTATAGCTCCACAAAGCGGAATTACTTATTCTAATTTGGCTTTGTATATATTTGACATATTTTAAGTTTTTCCTGTAATTTTCATTTGTTAAAAAACAGAATCTCTCCAGCAGTACAACAGAGAAGCCATTTTACACTGCTCTTACAGCATGTTTCCAAAATGCTGGTGATGTAACTCGACCTCTATCACACTTCAAGCACACATCAATCCAGAGAGGAAAAAACCAAACCATTTCACAACCAGACCAAAGAGCACACAGAGCTCATCCGGAGAGATTGGGAGATGTACTCCTAAATTACACTGGGTTTGAAAAACGGGAGTAGAGTCCCAAAACCTCACTAGTATATACAGTAAACCTAGAGAGGAAAATTAGAAAGAATCTGCAGCTGAGTCCTTGCATGTTCCCCCAGAGCATACATGTAACTTGGGTACCAACTGCACTTGTTATGTAGTTGTCAGGGGTCAAACTCTTGACACTGGTGAACAAAACAGCAACAAAAAGAATCCAAAAGGCAGCCCTGCACAGAATTATGTTGGAAGAGGTCCTCAGCCCTCATGATGTGAGGAAGCTATTGACTATATATGACTATTGCCATGAGTCATAACACAAAGAGGCCTTGGATGCAGAACAAAACTCAGCCAGACTTGCTTGTATCCCTGTCTCAAATTCATGTCTGCCACAATCAAAAGCTCATCTTGAAAGAATTAGCTTTTCCCTTCCTCTACAGTGGCTATTCCTTATTTATGCTAATCCAGGGACTAAGTAATAAGCCTTCAACTCTTCAGAGCCTGTATTATCCCTCTCTTCAGAGCTCAACACTGAAGACAGACGCTGGAGAAGGTTTTTTTTCTGATCATAAAAGACAGTTGACAAATTAGCTGAGAATCTTCTCAGAAAGAAATCTAAGGCATTTGTCTGTATCTCAGTTTTGTCAATCTGATTTTCACTTGAAGACTCATTTACAAGATCAGCTAATATCATCCCTGTACTCTGATCCCCTGGCAATAGGCTCTTCAGCTATACAAGGCTAATCATTATTCCAAAATCATTCCTAAAAAGCAAGGCATTTGTTCAGAAGACAACTTCAGAATTTAAATGAAACCCTTAAGTCAGCCACCTGTTTTGGTCTATTTACAGGACTGCTGGAGACATAACTGATCTGAAATGCAGTTACAGTACATCAAGGCTCCAATTGCCAAGAAAATCCTTGATTTCTACTGCACCTAATTTAGAAATTATGTACTGAAAAGAGTTTCTATTTAAAGCACAAGCATTATAAAAGTAGATGAAACCAATACCTCTGAGTAAATCTATTCATGCTATTCTATTACTGCAGACACTGCAGAGGTTGTGCTGCCGTGTTTTAACTGAATCACAGGACAACAGATTTCATTAAGTTCATTTGTTCCGTAGATTCTCTCTTTTGTGTTTGCTTGGTTGGTTTTCTTGGCTGAACAAGGGGCAGCACAGGCTGTGGCTGATTTGATCTGTGTTCAAGATTTGACTTAGTGAAGTGGCTACTACCGCAGAAGAGAACAGGGGCCAACCATCACGGCCTGTCAGGCTGAGGACACACTTTTGACCTTCTCCACCCAACTGATTTTGTTTTCCATTAAAACCTTGAACAGTTCTCCCCTCCCTCCCCCAGAAAAACAACCATCTTTCACACCTCTATTTCCATTGCCAAATGTGATTGAAACCAAACATGTTTCCCAGGAACTGGCAGGGGGTGGAGGGCAGATGGGAAAACAACATGGCTGTAAGGACAACTTCTTGCCTGAGAGAAACCAGACTAAAAGCAGTAGTTGACATTTTATAACAAGGTATTTCGTAACTTTAAAACATTTGGCTAAAATATCTTCAAATACTCTCTACTGCTCTATATTTGAGGTATTAAGGAGACAAGACTGAGGTGTCTATTCAGATTGTTACCTCAACAATGTCTGAGTTGGTTCTGCTTTCGTGGGGCTCGTTGTATTCTGTGTACTTTAGGAGAACTTTGTCCATGTCAGTGCTGGCATACTGAAAGAGTTTGTTAGAGCTGTTAAAAATGATGAGTGCTATTTCACAGTCACAGAGTACACTCAGCTCATAGGCCTTCTTCATTAATCCGAACTTCCTCTTGGTAAAGGTGACCTGGAGAGGAAAGAATAAGCACTGATTTATTCTTTAAAACACATGACAGGGGTTTGAAGGACAATAATCAAGGAATACATCAATTCAGCCTACATTATTTATTCCTACTACCAGGTGTAGAAGCTCAGTAGAAGAACTGCCTATCATATTTGGTGCCACTTTTAGGGCCAATGCTCTGTATTAGACTAAGCTACACAATTCCTCAATCCCAGCTCTTCCACTGGAAAACAACAACCAAGGAGAGCTGCATTTTGTAGGATTCTCTAACTGTATTTCCTTCTGTTCAACAAAAACTTTGCTTTTCATGACATTTTCTTCTGTGGTACTCAGAACCTTAATAAAATCAAAGAAAACAGCACTAGCAATGGAGGTAAGACTGTTACTCTGCAATATGATTTCTAGTTGTGCACAGCTACGAAATATTCTTATTTTGCTGCTATTAAACCATCTAATCTGATTCACTAATACTTTTGATTTGCTTTGTGCCACCTGGTAACATCATAAAACAATCATTCTGTCCAGTTAGAACTGCTGTGGGGAAAGAAATCCATTACAGCCCATCACAAAGGAGGAAGGAAGACAGAGTTATAGAAGTTGCCATCAATTATGGAGAAAAAAAAGGTTTAACAGATTACTCCTTTCACAAGACACCAGTTAAGACTATAAGAGTATCAATGGATTTGACACCCCCAGACTGCAGTGCAAAGCACGAGCCCTTGTGGCAGGTGAGGGACCTCCACACCCCACGTTTCACAGACAGCAGGCAATGTGCTTTTGCAAGACAGGAATGAAGTAAGACACAAGAAACAATCAAACCTGTTTTCTGGGTTTCTATAGTTGATGTCAATCATCTAAGTGTACATTAAGCTTTTTGGAAGAGGGATGGAAACGTTCTGGGTATACACACCTCAAGGCTTTTTTTCCAGAGATGTCATGGATATTTCTTTTTAATACTATCAGTAACACAAAATAGATACTGTGCTCCCCACCACATACAGCCTCAGACAGATCAGCTGTTGTTCTTCTAATACTTCAATTACAAGACACTTCAGAGGTTATTACCCGAGTACGGGCAGGAATAGAAAGGTGCTATTTAGTGTTTTTTTCAGGGGAAAAGGCATCATAAAAGAGATATGTGTTTGCTGCATCACTCGGAGAGGTCATGAGATGCAAACACTGCAGCTTCACTTCCACTGAGGACCAGTATGAGTCTGGACAAGGGCTCTTCATCTCTCTCCTGAG